TTTTTACACTAGCAGAAATATCGTAAAATTAAACTTAGCTTTACTTCCCCTTCGTGCAACTGCAAATGTACCACAATCTCAGAAAGGAATATTTATTAAAGCGCATTGAAACGATTAGATCTGTAAAACAGAATCTGCAGTAGCAAGCTACTAACAAAATCTATTAAACTTAATTATAAGTCAATCAAATTTTGAAAGAGAACATATTAACATTTAGCGTAATCCCAAACCCATGTGACTGGTAAATAATCCCTTACACGTTGTCATTAGTAAAATTGCACTAAAAAAGCTTACATTAATTATATAAACAGAACTCAAATTAACTTATGAAAGCATACAATCCACATTATTCCAACGATAGCTGATCTGGCTATTATGATATAGTTAAGTAGTACAATAAAAATCTCAGTATTTGAGAACTAAAATAATCTTTGAGTGACCTCCATATTAACACACACAACATTTGCAGTAATTGAAATGGTGCTAACGAACATAACTGAATTTTAACGTACATTGTACAGTCTTATCCTATAATTGAACACGTACCACATGTGAAAGATTAAGATATTTCGATATCTGCTTTATACTGCATATTACTTACTCTAGAAAATTTTGTGAATAATTAATATAAGATATATCTCCCAGTAGCTCAGCGGAAGTTAGAAGGTTTTATAACGCCTAAATCCTGGTTTTCATACCCGTGGTGGGCGTATCATAAGTAGCCAATTGCGTAGCTTTGCGCTTAACAAGAAACCAACAAATAAACGATATTACTACATAAGTACAGGGGCGGATTGCCCGGTGTGCCATTGCATTTGACACATTCTTAAAAATTAATTTTAAATGTTAATTGTTAAGCCAGTATGCAGCATATGATATAGCTTAGTCTGGTCCTTTAATGCCAAATCTGCCCTACGTAAGTAGTTTGTTAGTTGTTTTGGTAGAAGTTCCCTAATTTTAGATAATAATCTGCAGTAAAGTTATCATATTATTTTGTAACTATTTTGATTCATATTTTCAATAATGCTTTACAAATAAGACAACTACGAGCCATGTTTCATGCAGTGTTTAATTAACATAAGCATTGATTGGATCGCTTGATAAATAGTGTTGCCTACTGAAAGCATTTGAATATTCTAGAAGGAGAGGAAAAGTTCTAGAAAACTGATACTTCAACAGGTTTCTTCACCGTATTTTACTACGAGTTTGTTGTTACAACTTTATTATTCGTATTTTTTTTCAGTAAATCACGGAGTTTTATTTCTTCATACGTTTCTGAGTAATTTATCAGTTTTAACATAATGTGGTTAAAAGCCGAATTAATGTTATTTGCTAATTACCATTAGAGATCAAAAATATTTTAACAAATTCCAAAATGGCGTGCAAGTTCAGAGAGGAAGGCAGAGGATCGTGACAGAAAAATTAATTAATGTGACTAGATGTTTAGAAAAGCAGTGATCAAGTATGAAATGAAAAAAATGAAGGAAAAACAAGAAACATGGAAAGATACATTCAATTATAAAACGAAATGGTGATCAAAAATGGTGAGAAATTTTAAGCGGAAAAATATCGTGACAAGAAACTTAAGAGATATTGAAAAACAAAACTTCAAGAAGAACAGTGAAAGAATCTAGACGCCAGGCTTAAGAAATGTCAAACATTAATTAAAGGAGAAATCAACATAATTATGCAGAAAGCTGTGGAAGACATCGTGGATTCTAAGAACACTATTATTCAATATATCGTGCAAACTACTGTTAAAATAGACTTACAAATATCCAAGAAACTAAAACTGTCGACTTTCAGGAAGTAAAAAATATATCTTCAATACAAGCATTTCCGGATGTAAAAATTGTCACAACACAAGGATTAGTGGAATATACAAACCTAGTTACTAGCGTAAGGGTTATAGCATAAAGATATTGAAAAGCAGAATGATACAGTTGTAGGAACAGCTAGAAAGTGTGATTTTTAGACCCCCTGCGAATCTGTCAGCCAATTTCCGATAAATTCTACATTCATCAAGCAGTAACATATTCATAGACAACTTTCCTGGAACTACTCACTCTTTTTGGCATGCCTTAACAGTATCCTTCACAGTAAGAATCACTTCTAGACCCACAATTCTAATGGAAATGAATGCAGTTACGAATCGCAAGTTATGCATCTTGCTATCCACCAGAAAAGACACCATCAATGTCGTCCTTTTCAGTTAATCAGCAGAAAAAGGTGTCCATGTCAAGTTCAACACACGGATGAAGATAAAAGAAAAGACTCTCATACATGCAAAGGGGGAAAAAATTAGGTTTAGAACAGTAATTATGTGATAAAAGTAAGAAAGCAGCTATCCGAAGTTACATCTACACTACGTGAGTAGAAGGCAGCTAGTCATAACCACCCACCGCCAACTCTTGGGGCTATTCTTTAACCAACGAATAGTAGGATTGACCGTAACATTATAACACTCCACGGCTGAAAGGGCGAACGTGTTCAGTGTGAAGGGGATTGAATGAAACGCTATAATATTCTATATAAATATATATATATATAAATAGTCGAGAAACATATATCCAAAACATATACAGAGTTTGAGTACGTTGTACTAAAACTATTTTGGAGTCTTACCACGTCGTTACAGTCCATGCCGCCACATCCGGTCATGCTCTACCTGACGACTATGCGTCTTGAAAATAGACACATAGCGTAGTTTTCATTGTATAAACTCCATCATAAAATCTTATGTCTGAAGCACTCCCTTCTTTCCTGCATAATTTCCATAAGCCATTCAGCGTCCGTTTCAATAGTCTCATTGCACAAAATTCCATAGGCGCAGCCATTGACTTTTCTGTTTATAGATTCTCACATGTCACAAGACGCCGCACTATGCCTACAACAACTGAGTATGACATGTTGCAGGTCTCTTTCTGGATGTTCCTGGTGTCCCAAGTTGATCCATATTTCCTTGTTTTCTAACGTCATTAAATACATATCCCTATATTAACAATTTCGAATCTTCGATCTGAACACGTCTATATGATTTGAGTGTATGGATGTTTTGCATCGGAGAAAGCTGTTATATACCTTTCCCCAAATCGATAAATTTTTCAGGGGCACAACTCTACCTAAGCTCTGAAACATGTCGTCCTACCGCGACTTTATATCAGGTGTGGTTTTGACATGGTTTAATAATTTACATATTCGAAATAATTTTAATATAATGTACTTAACCCTTTATATAAGCTTTAATCGGATTCATTGGAGATTGATTAGTTAATTTAAAATGAAAGTAAGTAACGATTTGATGAATCATAGAAAAAACAGGTACGAATATAAAGACTAGATGCAATAAACACGGAAAACGTAAATAACCAAACATAAATGATCATATGATTGAAAACAACACGAAATAAGCTTTAAAAATATTACAGTGTTGAATACAAAGAAGAATACAAACAAAAGAAAAAAATATGGAAGCAACAAATAATCATCGAATTAAAACCTAACATTAGTAAAACATCACGAACGTTATTATATTTGTACTAAATTAATTACTTTTAAAACTAGAGGGAGCTATTATCATGAACCCAATTATTTGATTGGATGTATTTGCAAGTTGAATGTATCGTACCTTTGTAAGTGATCGTGTCTCACCATCAGAGACAAAACGTTTTGCAGAAACAAATCTATTATCCCACATATAACTATTTCTGAACTTCATAAGACATTCTAGCCCTATAATGTTCCTACTGATGAGAACCGTTGTACAAACAAGATTGTTGATTATACTTAAGTATTCCTTGTTGTGAAATTAGTATTGTCATTTGCTGCCATGAATAAGGACGAGCTGTTTTCTCGAGGTATTTCACTCGATTTTTTAATAGTGATATTGCTGCTTTCCTTGCATTAATTAGTGTAATATATAGTTTAATAAATTGTATAATGAAGAATATCATCCAAGTCTAAATAAGACTTGTTTTTCCTGTTAATGAGCATTGCTAATCCATATTCCTGGACTTTCCTATTACTACCAATGATTTTGATATTACATTTAAATATACGACTGGCCAAACAGAGATTCTAGGTTATTATTTTTTACTCGAAACCACTGATGTAATCCTGCACGTGCCAGGACGTAGGTAAATGTAAAAATGAATAACGACTCACGTTGATATCAATCCATGTGTTGTCTCGAAAAGACTGTCACAATACATTACCTGACAAAGGATTGGTTGTAAACCCAATAGTTAGTCTATTATTGCCGTATTAAATAGTTGGCTTTCACTGCCCAAGGGATATCCAGTAAGAGGGTAATCGCAAGAAATGTTTCGATTGGTGCGTATTTCTTTTGTCTTACATTCTTCTAAAAAACCTAAATTAATGGCATTTGGATCCTCTTTTTTTAATGTACTTTTTCTATCGTACAACTAATAAATTTTAAAGACATTTAAGGAATTAGTTATTTTATTTGGCATTTTTTATGTTTTTTTATATTTAATACACTTTTGTTAACGTAACGCTTAAATAAAAGTAATGTTTAAAAACTTTCAAAGAAGTCATAATATTTGAATGATGAGCTTATCTAAGAAAATATAATGAGCACAGTATTAATAGTAATATAATAAGTATAATTATAAAAAATGCTTTAAAGCACATAACTTGGGGGGGGGGGACTTCTGGGAGGTCTCGCAATTTTTTTATCTATTGTTTGTACCTGTAAAATTGAATGGTAGAATTCACTGACCAAGTACCAGATTAGCGTTTATTTAACTAGCAGTATGAAACACGCCAAGACTATAGCAAGTTAAAATCGTGTGAACTTTACCCTGATAGCATTTAGGTAACATAATAAAATATTGCTTCTATAGTAAAGATAAATGTTGGGTAAAATTTATGAACATCGTAAGCACTATGACCTCTGAGATCTTGTTTCTCGTTGTTGGTTAAGAATAAAAGTATTACTATGCCTTAGTCGTCCAGACCTTGTTGAGAGCTTGCTGAGGTCAGAGAAACTTGCTATTAGTATTAAATAGGAGGTTTAGCAGCTAGGTTTACCATGGTGTCAATACTAGTTGTTCGTGGGGGCCTAGGTTCCCTGCTGCTCTTTCATTATAGCGCTGCCATACGTCTGTTCTGCACCCTTGGGCGTCAAGACAACAAGGTGCTTTCCATTGATTTTCTGAGTTCTATGGAATGCGTGACTACGAAAAGTTTCTAAGGTTTGTATGTGAGCATCTTGTCTGTAGCTAGCTCACCCCCCATTGCCGCTTGTGTACACGCCCAGCACCCACTGACAACCCAAGAGGTCCACACCTAGCATCTATCCATAAATAACTGGTTAGCAAGTATACACACAAAGCTAATATCCGGTACGTCAAAGCTTCCAACATCTAGTGAAACGGAGGGTTCTTTTTCAACATCACCACTTTTTCTTTCAACATTCCCCTGACCGAATGTCATCTTATTGTAAGTAACCTGTTGGTGTCTCATGTATACAACCCTCACTAGACATGTGCCCCATAACTTTCACGATGTATTTCTACAACAAATATTATCAATTGCAAGGCGGGGCCTATGACTTCGATTATTCTTCATACAATTATTAAAACAAAAGAGTAATTCTGAAAACCACTAAAAAAAACATTTAAAGAAGAGAATTATAAACTGAACTTTTTACTTAATTAAATCGCTTACATTTTAAAACAAAACTAATAAAATTTGAAAAACTACATACAAAAATAAAATCCGCGAGGTTTCATTCGCCTGTGCGTTAAATGACCTTTATTAAAACACTACAATTTAACCTCACAATATTAGAAATCATAGAAATGACCAACCTGCAATATCCTCTAAACAATAACAGCTGAAAGAAAATTTAGCGTAATCCACTTGATGAGTTGTAATGAGATGACAATGGAAACAAATATATATATATATATATATACACAAAAGCAAAATTATCGTATCTTCACGTTAACAGGTTAAAAGAAGCATATGTTAATAATATAGAAAATGACGTCTTTTTTAAGCAGAGTTGCTTGCGTACTTGATTCGTGCAACATAAATAGTATGGAAACAGGACATATACATGATCATAAATTACAACACTTATGCAAATTATGTTTGAAATTTCTAAACACTTTATTTCAGGAAAAATTATATTAGCATTTAGTGTACAGATGATTGTTACAGGAGCCCCATTAGCATTTCTCAAACACAGACAGATTAAATACTTGATACTTTTAAAATGCAACGTGTTACATTTGATTATACTAAATATTAATACAATTATAGAAATATATATATAAAACGAAGTTCATAAAATATTGAAACATAATCATTTAGAACATAAGAAGTAGCAATCATAAGTTATGTACAAATTAAGGCATTGTGACTTCGGTTTAACTTCTTTGTGTTTATTTGTTTTGAATTTCGCGCAAAGCTACACGAGGGCTATCTGCGCTAGCCGTCTCTAATTTAGCAGTGTAAGACTAGAGGGAAGGTAGCTAGTCATCACCACCCACCGCCAACTCTTGGGCTATTTTTTTACCAGCGAATAGTGGGATTGACCGTCAACTCGCTGTCAGAGACGAAACGTTTTACAGAAACAAATCTATTATCTCACATATAACTGTTTCTGAACTTCATAAGACATTCTAGCCCTATAGTGTTCCTTCTGATGAGAACCGTTGTACAAACAAGATTGTTGATTATACTTAAGTATAATCGTTGTGTAAATCATAATGTAATGAGGCTTAGAAAACGTTGTTAGGTTGTGAGATTTATTATTGTTCTCGTATACTTTTCTGTTTCCAAAAGCAGTTTTAAATAGCTAAAGAACACTATAGTCCCAAAAAACATCGAAGTCTAAACATAATGAATTTTATTTTATTTTACATATATTTTAGCCACTGTTCACACCAACATGGGATAGTAAATAGCGGATTTTAAGTACCGTTTTTTAATCAGTTTTTTAAAAAACGTTCGTAGTTCTATCTACTACATACGGTAAGAGAGTGATTATGACATATTACTGTGAGTCAAAATTTATCGTATAATGGCCTGTGTAAAAGGCTGTGTTTAGATTGCTCATTTATTTATGTGATTTTGAGAGTTTCGCGCAGAGTTACGCGAGAACTGTCTGTGCGTAGTTATCCCTAATTTGGAACTTACAGACTAGAAGAAAGCCAGACTAGTTTACAGTAACAACTCTAAGGCTACCTTTATCTAACCGAATAGTGGGCTTTGATCATTACTCTGGTAGAGTATCTATGGACCGCAAAGCGCTTTTTTGCAGCAATGAGAAGCGAACTCTGGATTCGCTCACCAATAACAAAGAAATTCAACTAAAGCGTGAAAGACTCTAATAACGTAAAGACATGATTAAAATCGTTAAAAGGGAAAGAGAGATATTTATGCTCAACATGTTGGCCAAGTGTTCACCTCACGTGCTATTCTTTTCTTTAGAGTGATTCTAAACATTCTTCGTGTTTACGTTACTGCTAGTAGGTTAGCCCTTTAGCTCCGTAGATAGTACGTTCGCCGGCATATTGGAATTGCTGGGCCTAATCATGCTCGCTTGAACTGGATTACCACACATGTCATCCCAGATTTCTTGTTTCTTTGTTCATTGTTTTTGTGAACATGTCACCTACACTTGATTTCTTGCTTATGAAATGTTTAAGCATTCTCAAGCACATTTCGTCTAGATACGTATTGTGATAATGACGCACTGAAGGTGTATTTAAAGTCTCAAAGTCTAGTCTTTTGGCATGTATTTTTTTATGAGAGCGTTTCAGTTTTTCCGGGATAAAAATTCTTTGTTACGAAAAAAAAGCAAACTTTTAGAACTAGTTTAAGAATTAGTAATACACACACGCAGCATTTTTAATCGACTTGCCCCCCCCCCCAAAAAAAAGAAAAACTTTCAGGATTGACCTAACTCTAAACCTATAGTTGTAATAATAACGCTGTCAAATGCTGAGTGGAAACTAATTTATTTAGTGCGTGTGTCAAATTTACAACCGTACAAGTTCACGTGGCAAAGTATGAGGAATGGCAATTATGAATATTATACATTGTTGATGGTAGTTCCTGTGAATATTACACATTGTTGATGGTAGTTCCTGTGAATAATACATATTCTTGATGGTAGTTCCTGTGAATATTATACATTGTTGGTGGTAGTTCCTGTGAATATTACACATTCTTGATGGTAGTTCCTGTGAATATTACACATTCTTGATGGTAGTTCCTGTGAATATTATACATTGTTGATGGTAGTTCCTGTGAATATTGTACATTGTTGATGGTAGTTCCTGTGAATAATACACATTGTTGATTTTCAAACCCTTCAAAGACCTTGTTTATACCAAACTATGGATGTCACTCAATATGTGTTATTCTACATTCGAGCTTGACCACTTTTCAATCCAGGTGTTAAGCTCCAATGACCTCAGTAACGCTATCCGGCAATCACTGGCCTGTGTTGAATGATAACTAAAAGTGTAAGACTCGAGGTATTCAAGTGCAGTGGTTTGTAAAATGCTTCAAGGTAATAACTCTTACGGTGCAGTAACTCTTCATAAGTGTCTACTTTGTCGGCATGTGTCAGGTTTTTGGCTGGGATATAAGAAGATTAAAAAATAAAGGCCTATTGGTTCAGTATTGGGCACTACAAGCCATTCTGATACCCGTATTCAACAATACAGAACTATCAAAACATTTATATATCAAATGAATTCCTACTAGTTAAGCTTAAGTTGAACCTCCATAAAACCGTGGTTAAGCTTGAGGTTGTAATCATAAGGTGTGCAAGATCTGTCCACAGTTGGTCCAGGATAAAAAAATAAAAAAAAAAGATCAAAAGAACTATGGATAAATCATCAACATGCTGACCAGTTTACACTTAATCTAAATAATCTCGTTATTATAATCTTTCAGGTTTTGAGTAGATTTGGTGACAACTGAGTGTTTGTTAGTGTGATTTCATTATAAACTGACTTTATTGTTGACTTCGTGGTATTTCTAATTTTGGTAACATTCGTTATATTTTGATTACATACAAATAAACTGTTAAAACTTAACCGTTGAAACAATCAACTGAAATAGTCCAGAACTCTGTGAATCTGAAGTTGTTCTTGACTTACAGGATAACATGATCAGTGAAGTTCCTAAATTATCTATAACATTTCAAGAAAAAATAATCGAATAAAAATATTTAGATATTTTATAATTATTCGTAGAATAACAACTGGAAATCAGTTCATTATTAATGTTTTATTTCCTATGATTAATTCTTTAAACGTCCGATAGGTTTTTCCTTGTTCTTTGTTATTAAGCACAAAGCTGCACAAAGGGTTAGCTGTGATCTGCCCATTACGGGTATCGAAACCCGATATCTAGTAGTATAAGTCCGCAGACATACCACTGTGCCACGGGGGGGGGGGGCGTCCGATAGGTGAAAAGGTTGTAGTTTATCGAATACTATGAGCCCTCTACATCATTTAAACTATACAGTTAAATTAAAAAATTTTAACAATCTAACTTTGCACTTTACCAATAACATTTCGGTTCGCCGATGGGACAGCGGTAAGTCTAAGGACTTACAACGCTAAAATCCGGGGTTCGATTCCTAGTGGTGGACACAGTAGATAGCCCAATGTGGCTTGGCGTTAAACTAATCAATAACATTTTGTTTCGGTCATTGTATTTGGTATTGTTTTACAGTTAAACTGTAGTTTAAACTTAATAAATTACTATGGCTTACTTAACATCAACAATGTTACGTTTTCTGCACCAACAATATAACACCTAGTTTTCAATCAACTATTCTGCTTCTTAAAACTAAAGAGTCGCTCAAACAAAGTTGAAACGTTTACATTCACTAGGCTTTTTGTTTACCTTTCTTTTTTTCTCTCTTCCAGTATTACTTTGAAGAACGAGAATTGTGAAATTTGTAATAGCGTTTTCTATTTGCCCGATGCGTTTGAAATAAGAATTTAAAAAATACATATATAGTTGAACTAATTGAATTTATTGACCTTTTTATGTGTTGTTCGTGAGAAAATTAATCAACTCAAGTTAACTTATTATTCCTGTTTTAGGCGTTAAGTTAAATATAATTTTCTAATTTCTTAATACGTATCGTGGATAATAATAGATACAGTCTTTGTCAAAATATTTGCATACTGTTCTATATTGATGTTATTGTCTACATGCATGAAGTACTTATTGAGTAAATACCCGAGTAGTAACAGAGAAGGTAGGATACGATCGGACAAACATGTACGAGTTGTTATTCTAGTCTGTACAAGTTGTTTGGTGCATTTATTCGTCAAAACACACATACACACTTGTTTTGTATAAAAGGGGTTTGTTTTTGGTATAATCTTTTTCAAAACAGATCCAATTGCTCGATTGTCTAGAAATGGTATGAAGCAAACGGACATTGCCAGAACAGTAGGATACATCCAGTGTACTGTATCCAGAATCTTGAAACGTCATCGGACACCAAGAAACGTTATTCCAGGAAAGTCTCCTGGTAGACGCCGAAAAACTACTGCCCGAGATGAACGTGTTTTGATTAGGTTAACACGAAAAAAAGTCTTGCAACTCTTTAAGACAGGAATGGTATTATCACATTCACTCCAGGGTATCCATAATAGCAATGAATAGGAGACTGACCAAACATGGTTATTTTGTAAGAAGAGCTATCTGCAAATCGATATTAATCAGAATTCACAGCTGTCACCGTGTTATTTGGACAAGACAACATACC